AATTAACTCTCAAACACATGATGATATTTATGTTTTCAACAGTGACTATGACTTACTTTTTGAAGAGAAAAAAACATTTAAAATGTGTGTGTGTGTGTGTGTGTTGCTAAGTCACTTCAGTCGTGTCCGACCCTCTGCGACCCCATAGATGACAGCCCACCAGGCTCCCCCAGCCCTGGGATTCTCTTTTTTTTTTTTTCCATTTATTTTTATTAGTTGGAGGCTAATTACTTTACATCATTGCAGTGGTTTTTGTCATACATTGAAATGAATTAGCCATATTCAAATGAATTCTTTTTAATGGCTGAGTAATATTCCATGGTGTATATGTACCACAGCTTCCTCATCCATTAGTCTGCTGATGGGCATCTAGGTTGCTTCCATGCCTGGGATTCTCAAGGCAAGAACACTGGAGTGGGTTGCCATTTTCTTCTCCAATGCATAAAAGTGAAAGTGAAGCCGCTCAGTCATGTCCGACTCATAGCAACCCGATGGACTGCAGCCTTACCAGGCTCCTCCATCCATGGGATTTTCCAGGCAAGAGTACTGGAGTGGGGTGCCATTGCCTTCTCCAGTGTGTATATATATATATATATATATTCTCACTTTACATCCAATGAAAACTTTCTTGCATGACCTGAGCAGTTAGAAACATTTTTTTCCTAAATCGGATGATGCCTGTTTTTGTTAAAAAGAAAGAAAATCAGAAAACTCAAAGATGGTATGACAATTAAGTACAATGCCGCCACCCAGTGGCAGCCACTGGTAATAGCTTGATGCAGAACACTAAGACTTCTCATTTACATTTCTTTGAATGTCCATGTTTCCTGTTGTATTCCTTGGGTTATTATCAGGAGTTAGGAGACCACGCAGATTATGGAACTGCTGGATTAAACAAAGTTAAAACAGACTTTCTTATCTGGCAGGGTGCATTTGTGAGGCTTTTTGGTAAACTAGTTCATTCCTACAAATTCCTCCAACTCATCACAGTGCTACCAAGCAAAGTGGCATGATATTTACATCTGCTTGCTGTAAAAGTGACAATGCTTAGAGACAATTAGTCTATAATGTAAGTCTTGTACTGATCAGGTCCTTAATTTTCCCATGCATGCTTAAACAACCCAGTATTCCAAGACAGACAGTACTGATCAAGCTCCATCTTGCTGGTTGGAAAGCCGAGATCCAAAAAGGTTAGGTAACTGGTGACAGTCACCCTGAAAATTGGGGCTATAGATCAGAATATACTCTGGCACAGTCTGACTGTGGTAGAAAACGCCTGTCCCCACCTCCATCTGCCCACGTTGTAACCACTCACCTTGCCACATCTCATATACCCACCCACGACTTTCAGCTCATGAAATACCCTCATCACCGTGTTTCCTCCCAACAAAGGCCTAAGCCTTCATGTCCTTTCCTTTATTCTGTTCCGCCCAAAGCCACTGTTTTGCCCCAAACAATTACCTTCATAGAGTTGAAGCTCATCTTTCAAAATGTCAGGCTCCCCATGCTCAGCACCTGGGTGGAGACAAAAACCTGTTAGTTAGTTCCCCCCAGTAACAGCACCCCAGAGTGGCTTCCCTCTTCTGGTGTTGGAAGCTTTAAAAAGTAACATAGTCCTTGTGTTGAGGGTGAGGTGAGAGGTTTTCAAGAAGTAAGACGGCCTTACAAGAGATTCCCTGATACTCTGTCTGACACCCCTCACACATCCTGAGGTGACCATGTTCAACTGACTAAGAAAGAACTGGGGGCCTGAGAGGACCTGAGCCTTGTACAAAGTCAGTAATGCTAGCCGCCATTTATTGAGCACTTACTATATACCAACACCGAACTAGGTAATTTATGGTTGATATTGCATTAGACCCTCTTGGAAATTCTGTGAAGGAGGTATTAGTACCTCTCCCTCCCCAATTTACAGATAAGGAAACTGAGGCTCACAAAAGCTGTTATTCTCTGAAGGTCACACGTCCAGGAAGTGGCAATTTAAGGTTCAAATCCAGGTCTGTCACTGAGGTCTGCTTTCCTGGTCATTTTTATCTCCAGAAATAGGACCCAGAGCTCAGGTGCAGAGTCATGGGAACATTTGTTAAATACCTTGTGTGTGTCAGGATCTGTAGTAGGCATTAATCTAGTCTCTTTCCCCCAAGTTCTTTTCTTCCCACGATCAATTTAGGCTAACATTTATTAAAGTTTTTTTTTTAACACAAAAGTATATTTTTCCTATTATAAAAATAAAAGAATCATATCATAAAACATCTATGGTAAAAGTCAGTTCAAAAAAAAGAAAAGAAAAATCCTTCTAATATAACCATCCAGAGATAACCATTATTAACGTTTTGATATTTTGCTTTCCAGTCTTGTTTATAATCACATATGGGTCCTTTTTACAAAATATATGACAAAATGTGGTCAACTGGAGAAGGGAATGGCAAACCACTTCAGTATTCTTGCCTTGAGATCCCCATGAACAGTATGAAAGGCAAAAAGATAGGACACTGAAAGATAAAATCCCCATGTCAGGAGATGCTGAATATGCTACTGGAGAAGAGTGGAGAAATAACTCCAGAAAGAAGAATGGAACCAAAGCAAAAACAACGCCCAGTTGTGGATGTGACTGGTGATGGAAGTAAATTCCAATGCTATAAAGAACAATATTGCATTGGAACCTGGAATGTTAGGCCCATAAATCAAGGTAAATTGGAAGTGGTCAAATAGGAGATGGCAAGAGTGAACATCGACACCTTAGGAATCACTGAACTAAAATGGACTGAAACGGGTGAATTTAACTCAGATGTCCATTATATCTATTACTGTGGGCAAGAATCCCTTAGAAGAAATGGAGTAGCCCTTATAGTCAACAAAAAAGTCAGAAACGCATTACCTCAGTGCAATCTCAAAAATGACAGAATGATCTCTGTTCATTTCCAAGGCAAACCACTGAATATCACAGTAATCCAAGTCTATGCCCCAACCACTAATGCTGAAGAAGCTGAATCAGTTCTATGAAGACTTACAAGACCTTCTAGAATAACACCAAGAAAGATGTCCTTTTCATCATAGGGCACTGGAATGCAAAAGTAGGAAGTCAAGAGATACCTGGAGTAACAGGCAAGTTTGGCCTTGGAGTACAAAATGAAGCAGGGCAAAGGCTGATGGAGTTTTGCCAAGAGAACACACTGGTCATGGCAAACACCCTCTTCCAACAGCACACAACACAAGAGGTGACTCTACACATGGACACCACCAGATGGTCAACACTGAAATCAGATTGATTATATTCTTTATAGCCGAAGATGGAGAAGCTCTATACAGTCAGCAAAAACCCAGAGCTGACCGCAGCTCAGATAATGAACTCCTTATTGCCAAATTCAGACTTAAATAGAAGTAGGGAAAACCACTAGGCCATTCAGGTATTACCTAAATCAAATCTCCTACAGTTATACAGTAGAAGTGACAAACAGATTCAGGGGATTAGAGCTGATAGAGTGCCTGAAGAACTATGGATGGAGGTTTGTGACATTGTACAGAAGGCAGTGATCAAGACCATACCCAAGAAAAAGAAATGCTAAAAGGCAAAATGGTTGTCTGAGGAGGCTTTACAAATAGCTGAGAAAAGAGAAGCTAAAAGCAAAGGAGGAAAGGAAAGATATACCCATTTGAATGCAGAGTTCCAAAGAATAGCAAGGAGAGATAAGAAAGCCTTCCTCAGTGATCAATGCAAAGAAATAGAGGAAAACAATAGAATGGGAAAGACTAGAGATCTCTTCAAGAAAATTAGATACCAAAGGAACATTTCCTGCAAAGATGAGCACAATAAAGGACAGAAACAGTATGGACCTAACAGAAGCAGAAGATATTAAGAAGAGGTGGCAAGACTACACAGAAGAACTATACAAAAAAGATCTTAATGACCCAGATAACCACGATGGTGTGATCACTCACCTGGAGCCAGACATCCTGGGATGTGAAGTCAAGTAAGCCTTAGAAGCGTCACTACAAACAAAGCTAGTGGAGGTAATTGAATTACAGCTGAGCTATTTCAAGTCCTAAAAGCTGATGCTGTTAAAGTGCTGCACTCAATATGCCAGCAAGTTTGGAAAACTCAGCAGTGGCCACAGGATTGGAAAAGTTCAGTTTTCATTCCAATCCCAAAGAAAGGCAATGCCAAAGAATGTTCAAACTACCGCACAATTGTACTCATCTCACACACTAGCAAAGTAATGCTCAAAATTCTCCAAGCAAGGCTTCAACAGTACACGAATTAAGAACTTCCAGATGTTCAAGCTGAATTTAGAAAAGGCAGAGGAACCAGAGATCAAATTGCCAACATCCACTGGATCATCGAAAAAGCAAGAGTGTTCCAGAAAAACATCTAATTCTGCTTTATTGACTATGCCAAGGCCTTTGACTTTGTGGATCACAACAAACTGTGGAAAATTCTTAGAGATGGGAATGCCAGACCACCTTACCTGCCTCCTGAGAAATCTGTATGAAGGTCAAGAAACAACAGATAGAACTGCACATGGAACCAGACTGGTTCCAAATTGGGAAAGGAGTACGTCAAGGCTGTATATTGTTACCCTGCTTATTTAACTTATACACAGAGAATATCATGCAAAATGCAGGGTTGGATGAAGCACAAGCTGGAATCAAGACTGCTGGGAGAAATATCAACAACCTCAGATATGCAGATGACACCACCCTTATGTTAGAAAGTGAAGAGGAACTAAAAAGCCTCTTGATGAAAGTGAAAGAGGAGAGTGAAAAAGCTGGCTTAAAATTCAACTTTCAAAACACTAAGATCATGGCATCTGGTCCCATCACTTCATGGCAAATAGATGGGGAAACAATGGAAACAGTGACAGACTTTATTTCGGGGGGCTCCAAAATCACTGTTGTAGATTGTGACTGTAGATGGTGACTGTAGCCATGAAATTTAAAGACACTTGCTTCTTGGAAGAAAATCTATGACCAACCTAGACAGCATATTAAAAAGCAGAGACATGGGCGGCCTCGTGCGAGCTTGGAGTGAGAGCGGGAGCGAGCGGCTGGCGTGGGGCGAGGCGCCTGCGCGGTGTCGGGCCCCTGAGCCCGAGGCGCTGAGACAGCCGGGGACGGACATGCGCGGGAGGGCGCCGTGGGGCAGCCGCGGCTCTGCCGGGGGAATGAAAGCCACTGGTTGACTGCACGCGTCCCTGGGCATTGCAAGTCTGAAGAAGTCCCAGAATAAGGCACAATGTCCATGGCAAGGAGTGGCTGCTCAGATCAGAGTCCCGTTAAAAACTGGATTTCTGCACGATGGCCAAGCCTTGGGGAGCCTGAAGGCCTGCTGGGGTGGCCGCAGCGAGTTTGAGAACAGCTTTTTAAACATCGACCCGATAACCGTGGCCTACAGTCTGAACTCGCGGGCGCAGGAGCAGCTAACCTCCATCGGGCGCACCTCCAGATCCACCCCGATGAGCAGAAGCCACTGTGCAGAGCATGGCCCCCCTCCGGAGTCCCGCCTGCCTCCCCTCATCATCCCCCCAAGTGAAGGCTGGGGCAGCAGGAGGAGGACCGGGTGGCGTGTGGACTGAAGAAGCGGGCGGTGAACGGGGTCTGTGCTGCCACACCCCCGTTGACCCCCGTCAAGAGTCCCCTGTCCCTCTTCTCCGGCCCAGTGCCCTGCGAGCGGGGCTCCCGGCCCCTGCCGCCACTGCCCATCTCCGAGGACCTCGCCCTGGACGAGACGGACTGCGAGGTCGAGTTTCTCACCAGCTCGGACACGGACTTCCTTCTGGAAGACTGCGGGCTTTCTGACTTCAGAGCCGATGGCCCCGGCAGACGCAGCTTCCAAGGATGCGGACAGATCAACTGTGCATATTTTGACACCCCAACTGTCTCCGCTGTGGATCTCAGCCAGGAACCCGACCAGGTGGCTGGGGTGCCAAGCGCCAACCCCCCTCTGCCTCAGGCCCACCGGAGACTGAGGAGGTCTCACTCAGGCCCCGCGGGGTCCTTCAACAAGCCCGCCATCAGGACCTCCAGCTCCATGCACAGGGCTTCTCCCAATTCCGACGACGACAAGCCAGAAGTTCCCCCTCGGGTCCCCATCCCTCCCCGGCCGGCCAAGCCAGACTACAGAAGGTGGTCGGCCGAGGTCACCTCCAGCACCTACAGCGATGAGGACAGGCCCCCCAAAGGCCCACCGAGAGAGCCCTTGTCCCGGAGCAACTCCCGCACCCCAAGCCCCAAAAGCCTCCCATCTTACCTCAACGGGGTCATGCCCCCCACGCAGAGCTTTGCCCCCGACCCCAAGTAGGTGAGCAGCAAAGCCCTGCAGAGACAGCACAGTGAGGGGGCTGCCGGCAAGGCGCCCTGCATCCTGCCCATCATTGAAAGTGGGAAGAAGGTGAGCTCCACGCACTACTGCCTGCTCCCTGAGAGGCCGCCCTACCTGGACAGATTCGAAAAATTCTTTAGGGAAGCAGAAGAAACACACGGGAACACCCCCGTCCACCCCATCCTGGTCCATGGCAGCATCTCTTCAGCCCCAGAAAAGCTGGACCTAAAGCCATGAGTGGACCTGGGAGGCCATGTGAAGCGCAAACATTTCTCCTATGTGGTTTCTCCTTAGACCCTGGAGTCCCAGCTCAGCAGAGGTGCCATGGGAGCGAGTGGTTCTCTCACAGTTCCCCAGACCCGTCAAGGTTCCCCAGGAAAATAGTCCAGATCACAGGCTCAGAGAGTCGAACTCTCCGTCTGAACAGGAAGGGCTTAGAGAGTCAGGAGGTGCTGAGGTGCTGAGCATCCCTGACCGTGTGAGCGTCAGAGAAAAGTCTGCTCAAGCCTGTCATTTAAAGATGCGATGCAGGGAGGAAGGACAAGGGACACGCATATGTGTGCACGTTAGACGCCTGCATCTACACTTGTGATAAAATCATAGATTCTAGTTGCAAGTTAACCCAGTAGTTCCTGTCTTAGAGTAATATATATTTAGAACAATAAGACTCAAGCTGGAGGATGGCTCCTGAGAGACTGAAAATTGAGCAAATGGGAGAGAATACAGTATTGTTTAGCTCAGAATCATAAAATATTATATATATATATATTATTATTTTTTTTGCATAATAAGGTTGAAGATTGCCAGCTCTGAGGCCTGTTCTGTTTTGTTTCATTTATTTTTACAAGCAGTTTTTCCATGGAAGGCAGGCCATACTTTCTTTCCGTGACTTCACGTGCCTGGTTTAAGTCGTCCTGAGACCTAAATCCTGTAGGTCTTGCTGAAGGGATGGCAGCACCTTTGGTACCGTATTCTCACCTGTCCGGGTCTCATGAAAAATGGGAAGGTAACAGAATAAGTCATTTTTCCTTACCATTCCTTCTCTGTTCCACCCACCCCCAGGAAACGCAGGACACATGGGGAAAAACAGACTCTTGGCCAGTGTTGAGGATGTCAGTTGAAGCAATAATGAAGCAGTCAGCTGTTGGGTTGAGAGTATCTGTGTGGAGATGTGTGTTGTAGGTTTCTTTTCTTTTTTTTCCCTCCCCTATTTTAGTCGCATATGAATAAACAAATACAACACAAGGTGGCCTTGTGTTGCTGGTTCCTCGTCAGTATTTCCTGGGGATTATTTGCTTTCTAAGTAAAACCCTTCTGACCAACAGCCCAGTATGTCTTAAGACCGGAGGTCACATCATCTACTTTGGAAATTCTCACGGCAGGCTGCTCTGCTCAGATCTGGTGAGACATAAAGCTCGTGTCCCACTTTCACATGCTTCGCTGTGTTTATCTTGTGTAGAGCACCACAGAAGAGATGGTGCTCATTTACAGAAGTACCTTACTACAATGTTCTCCACATTAAACAAGCTGTTCACGGTTTAAACTGCTGAGTGATGTTATTTGAGCTATTTAAAGCTTATATTTTAGTATGAACTAAATGAAGGTTAAAACATGCTTTAGAAAAAGGCACTGACTTCTGCATTTATGTGTACAGTATTGGACAAAGGATTTTATTCATTTTTTGTTGCATTATTTTTAATATTGTCTTTTCATTTTAATAAAGTTATAATACTTATTTATGAAAAAAAAATAAATAAAAAGCAGAGACATGACTTTGCCAACAAAGGTCCATCTAGTCAAAGCCATGGTTTTTCCAGTAGTCATGTATAGATGTGAGAGCTGGACCGTAAAGAAGGCTGAGTGCCAAATAATTCATGCTTTTGAACTGTGGTGTTGGAGAAGACACTTGAGAGTCCCTTGGACTGCAAAGAGATCCAACCAGTCCATCCTAAAGGAGATCAGTCCTGAATATTCACTGGAGGGACTGATGCCGAAGCTGAAACTCCAACTTTGGCCACCTGATGCCAAGAGCTGACTCATTTGAAAAGACCCTGAGGCTGGGAAAGATTGGAAGGGGATGACAGAGGATGAGATGGTTGGATGGCATCACTGACTCAATGGACATGAGTTTGAGTAAACTCTGGGAGTTGGTGATGGACAGGGAGGCCTGGTGTGCTGCAGTCCATGAGGTCACAAAGAGCGACTGAGCGACTGAACTGAACTGATACAAGATCAAACCAACCCTATGATTTGAATTTCTCTTTTTCGCTTTAGAGATGGATGAAGACCAGAGCTCTGACCAGGACAGGGTGGAGCATCGCTGATCTGTGCTGCTGCTGTTGGACATTAGGCTGTTTCTGTGATTGCCCTACTATAAACAATGCTGCAAGGAACATCTTCACACAGACACACTCAGTCTACTGAGTGGACAACGGAGAAATGGTGAGGCCTGCTGCCTACCGGGTGAGCCGCCCCTGCGGGGGAGTCCAGCCCCCTGGCTGTGCCGACGTTCTCTGGTCACGCGGGGGTGCTGGTCCTCATCACTGTTCTCTGCAGGGAACAAACACACGCTGTAGGAGAACTCAGCCTGGACTGAGCCAGAAATACTTCCTTCTGGTGTTGGTTCTTGGAATTTAGTTTATGTGAACAGAGTGGTCTGGGGGAAGGAAGTCTGCTTTGAGGGCTGGGGGACAGGAACTGTCACAGACTTTCTGTGCGACCTTGAACAAATCACTTACTATTTCTATCACGACTTTCATGATGATGAGATGAGGCCCACAAGGCACTCATGAGGTGCATTTGCTCGTGCTCGGTCTCCCACCTGGAACGCGCTTCCACTTGCTCCCTTGTCTTGAAGTTAAGCTGGGGTAACACCTCCTGTAGAGGGGCTTTTCTAGTTGTCCAGCACACCATCTTGCCCACCTCCCCAGCAGGTGGGATCTTAGTTCCTCAACCAGGAATCAAGCCTGTGCTCCCTGCATCCCTGCATTGTAAGCGCTGAGTCTTAAGCACTGGACTACCAAGGAAGTCCCTCCTCTGGGGTTTCTATAGTGTCAGCTGTCCGAGCTTGACACAGTGGGCATAAGGGTCCATGGTGCTATTCATCCCTCCAACCACCTTGAGTTCTGGAAGGACAAGGCAGGGCATCACTGTGCTAAGGTTGCCCAGCCTGGTGCAGGAACTTGATCAAGCCTTGAAGAATGACTGAGTCATCTGCACTCTTGGATCAGTCAGCATTCCAGGGATTCAGCCCTAGGAGTTCCTGGCTTCAGGTCCAGGGGACTCCCTTTCCCTTGGGATGATTAACAAAGCCCCAGCAGTCCTAATGTCCCGCACTGTGCTTGGCACAGGGCTTCCCTCGTAGCTCAGTCGGTAAAGAGTCTGCCTGCAATGCAGGAGACATGGGTTCAATTCCTCGGTCAGGAAAATTACCTGGAGAAGGAAATGGCAACCCACTCCAGTGTTCTTGCCTGGAGAGTCCCATGGACAGAGGAGCAGGTTACAGTCTATGGGGTCGCAAGAGTCGGACATGACTGAGCAACTAAACACACACAGTGTTTGGGAAACTTCCGGTCTATACAGATAAAATTTTAAATTCCAGGAAAGCAAGCTAACTGTGCTTACAAATCAGTGCATATGTGATCTCAACTAGGAATGGGAAGTACATCAAGATAACAATGTGGGACCTCCCTGGTGGTCCAATGACTGACTGCACTGCCAGTTCAGGGAGCCTGGGTTTGATCCCTGGTCAAGGAACTAGATCCCACATGCCACCATAACTAAGACTTGGTGCAGCTAAATATTTTTAATAAGATAACAATAATAGTATTTATCTCAGGGGATAAGATTTTGAGAGGCTTCTATTTTCTTTTCTGTATTTTATAAACATTAATCAATGTCCCCCAAAGGCTTTTTCATCACTTTTTGCAAAATATCAAAGAATACAGAAAATAAGAAAACAAAAATTACTCCAAATTCTATCCAACAGGGATGACCTCTGTTCATACACAAATAAAAATTATTTTAGCTTTCTCCATGATATATTCATAATATGTAATCTTTAAAAGTTGTTCAAGGATTGTTTTTTCTTTTCCATTATGATTTATTATAGGATATTGAATACAGTTTCCTGTCCATAATTTTTAATAAAAGGTATTATAGAATTGTATGCTGTCTAGAATGAGGATAATTTTTCTATGTGCTAATTCAATTATTTAAAAAATTAACTTGAGCAGAAAAATATCACAGTTAGTTGCTGGTCCCCCCAGTAACCATCACAGAGCCTGGCACATGGTTGATGTTCAATAAATATTTATTGATGGGCATTCCCTGGCAGTCCAGTGGTTAGGACTCCATGCTTTCACTGCAGAGGGCCTGGGTTTGATCCCTAGACAGGAACTTAAGATCCCACGAGCCGTGCAGTGTGGACAAAAAATATATATGCATATACAATTTAATATATATTGAATAAATGTAAGGAGATACACTAATATGTGTTTAGTGATTATCTAATAGAACAAAGGATGTTTTTCTTTCTTCTTGCTACTTCTTTATATATTTCACATTTTCTATAATGTGTCCATGTGTAATCTTTTACAATAAAAAAGTTTTAATTAAAAAATAATAGGCTGCATTAAGAACAAATAGATATGTAGGGAGAGTGGTGTTGGATGCCAGACTCTGAGTTAGGGTCCTTTGTGTGGAGGGGGCTTGGGGGCAGCTGGGAGACACTAGGGCTCCGGGCCCTGAAGACTAATGGTCTGTCTCAGTCTGAAGAATGCTCAGGGTCTGAGATAGAGTGACAGGCCACCAGGCTCAGAGACCAGGATCCTGAATGTCAGTCTGTCTTGATGGTTCCACAACTCTGTTTGTTTTCCTGATGCTTTCTCTTAGTGCCCGGAGAAGGAAATGGCAACCCACTTCAGTATTCTTGCCTGGAGAATACCATGGACAGAGGAGCCTGGTGGGCTACAGTCTATGGAATTGCAAAAGAGTTGGACACGACTGAGCAACTAAATGATAACAACAATAAATCCTATGAGATAATAAATTTTGTTATGGTCTCCATCTGATGGATGAGGACCCCAGGACACACAGGTTTAAGCAATTTACCCAAGGACACAAAGCTGTTAGTGGTAAAGAAAGCGTGTGAACCCAGGCAGGCTGCTGGAACACACACATGCATTGCCTCTTGTTCCAAAGTGCTCCTAGGAAACTAAGATGTTCCTTGACATGAGATGCAGTCACTTGAGGGGCTATATGGGAAACACAAAAGAATAGTTGCTAAGATATTATGGACTAACACGGCAAAATGCTCAGGATAAGACAGTGAAGACATTGTAAACTGAGGACAAAACTGTCTCTGTGGGAGTTATAACTGCACAAACCATGTGTATGGAGAGGCAGGCTCAGGAAGGGAATGTGGGAAACTGGAACTGCAATACCGAGCTGGGAGAGGACAGGAGATTGTTCTTTCCATGTAAATGCTTGTCTTCAAAGATATTTTAGTATATATGTATTTAATTAAGTCATTGCTTTACCTGAGGAAGAGGAGGAGGACGAGGAGGACGAGGAGGATGAGGAGGACGAGGATGAAGAGGAGGAAGACTTGTCTCTCTCATCTTGTCCTTGAGAAACGAGTCTGGCCCCCTGGTCTTGCTTGTGGAAGTCCGTCTCTCCATCTGGGAGGCACACGCAGTTAAGGAGGAGTATTTCCTGCCCTTCCCGCCCCAGGGATCACCCAGGCCTTCCCAGGGGTCTACGTGGACTTGGGGATCCAGGAGTGGCTGGATTCTCTGGGGTACTCTTCCCAAACCCCTAGGGCCCATGGGAGGTGCATGAGATCAGGGCTCTTGGAGACTCCAGAGGCTCTAAGAAGGCCAAAAACAGACATTTCTCTGAATATAGAGCCCACAGAGGGGCTTCTAAGCCCGTCATCCTTTCCAAGACACCACTACACCGTGTAGGTGGTGGTGGTTTAGTTGCTCAGTTGTGTCCGACTTTTTTTACACTGCATGGACCGTAGCCCACCAGGCTCCTCTGTCCATGGGATTTTTCAGGCAACAATGCTGGAGTGATTTGCCATTTCCTTCTCTAGGGGAGCTTCCTGACCCAGGGATCAAACCCTCATCTCCTGTATTGCAGGTGGATTCTTTACCGCTGAGTCACCAGGGAAGCCCACACTGCAGAACAGTTGCCAGTTTAAAATTCTCTGTAAATTACAGAGCAAGTGGGATCCAATCAAGCCCTAAACCTTCCCATTCTGGGGCCACGCGGTACCCTTCCCCTCTTCTGGGGACTCTCCCTAATGCCAGTCCAAGCTCCCAGAGCCTCTGAGATTTGGGGGAGCAACTGGGGTTCCCACTGCTGGAGAGTGCTGGGGGACAGACTGGACCAAGCACACAGATGTGCAAGTGCATAGAACCACTCCTTCTCTGGAGGTTTCAGCCGTAACTTG